CAGGAACTGGGGAGGAAACAGGAGCTCACCCTGTTTAACGTGAAGGCTGGACTCGAACCACTGAAGCGTCGACCATTTCTGGTCGGCAACTTTCAGCGTCATTAAGCTGCTGCGCCACCGCGTCCCCCTTGCCAAAAGCATACCTAGAACCAATGAGGAGTGGACACGTCATCCTTTGCATGTTTTTAAGCACTGCAACCAGGCCCAATGCTGCGATTTGCTGCTGCAGATGGATTCAGTGATCCTTGCTGAATCAACTCTCCTTGTTACCTGTTGCCCCCTCCATGCACCAGGCATGGAATAATTATCTCACAACAACTGCCAAACCTCTTTGCCCTCGTTTCAACAGTTGGGGTGTGATCGAATATTCCCAAATACTGTGACTGGTGGAGAGTCAACCTAGCCTTGAGCGGGTACGTTCCTGTCGTTCTGCCTCGCTCTTTCCTTGTAGTGTCGTACGTAAGAAGGTGCAAGGGGATGAGGACTCACAAAGAAAGCGGTAAGATCAGTTGTCTATCTAGAAGTCCAGTGGTTACTGTGCTGAATGGCAGCAGCTTTTAAATGTCTCGGGTCAGTCAGTCCCCCATCCCTCCCCGTCTCAACCACTTCTCCATTAGACTTTGCACCGCAGGAGAAGCTGAGGAATGAATCCAGGACATGGTGCGTGTACATCTGGCAGTGGTTCCTGGCCGAAAGAACCTAGCAAATTGCTGCATAGATGCAATAGAGCAGGTCTAGTTTCTTGTAAGTCAGGGGACGCTGAGGCGAGGGCAGTAGTGGAGTTGTTACAACAGCCATCATACAAAATAATAAGAGAAAGGGACCTATTTCATTGAAAGACTCAAGTAATCTGGAAGCAGACTGTGATGGAAGATATCTACGAGGAGGGGAGAGAGGTGGGAGATCAAGGCTATCAGGAGGGAGGGGGGGCATTCCAGGAGGGGAAAGGAGGCAGAAGGCAACACAGTCCACAGAGGGAGTGTGGGAAGCCAAAGAGGTTCAGGAAAGCCACTCCCTAGAATCTCGCAGGGTAGATCCACTAGTTGCCGTAGTATAGATCAGGGTTCCTCAACCTCAGCGACTTTAAGATGGGTGGACTTCAACTCCCAGAATTCCCTAGCCAACCATGCTGGCTGGGGGATTTTTGGAGGTGAAGTGCCACCATCTTTAAATCGCTTAGGTTTAGGAAACCTGGG